GGAAGGAAGGAAGGAAGGAAGGAAGGAAGGAAGGAAGGAAGGAAGGAAGGAAGGAAGGAAAGAAAGAAAGAAAAGAAAGAAAGAAAGAAAGAAAGAAAGAAAAACGACCTTCAGAGCAAAGGTCAGTGCAAGTCGAAGAGCAATAATCAGGGTGAAGAGACCTCAGGTCTCCAGGATGTTCCTGAGGCCATAAGGAGAGCAAGGGTCAGGGAGAGGAGTGGGAGCAAGTAGAAACCAAAGGACAGAGGGTTTGGCCAGGGGAAGGTCACGACAGGGCAGTGACACGCCTGTCAATTCCACAGCATTCGCTAGGGTGAGGCCCGCCCACTTCTAAGGAGAGCAGCTGCCACTCAGCCCAGACAAGAGTTGCTAGCTGTGTTGCCAATTGTTCTGATTCTTTTTCAAATGAAGCCAGATTTCTGGATTTTTATGTAAAATCTCCCAAAGAAAAAATGTTGGCAACTAATTCAAAATGTTTTCAGACTTTCCGTGGGCCACAAAACATGACCGTTGTGTGGATTTGATCAATGGGTCTCTAGCTGGGAGTTGACCTTGAGGTCTTTTATTTGCCCAGTATTTTCCAAATGGTAAAGCCTCTTCTGAGGGTCTTGGAGAGGCTATTTCTAGAGTCTGGCCATGGAGTTCATCAGGTTGTCATTGGGACTGAAACACCATTCCCACCTGAGCTCTGAGATCCAGACAAGCGACTTCACTTCATTTTGCATCTCAGCTTTCCTGTAAAGACACGAAGGCACTTTCACCCTAACTTATGGTGCAGAGACCTAATGAGCAAAGTTTGTACACAAGACCCAAGAAGTGGGGTGTGGCAGCCCACCTTGGCTGTCGGCAAATCGAGGGTGCCTCATCCTGGCTACCTGTGGGAATCAAATGCACATGCCTGGGCCCCAGGGTTGGGAACTGCTCGCTATGGCTTGAGTTCTTCCTCCATCCCCCACCCTTCCTTCCTTCCTTCCTTCCTTCCTTCCTTCCTTCCTTCCTTCCTTCCTTCCTTCCTTCCTTCCTCCCCTCCCTCCCGCCCTCCCTCCTTCCAACTGGATAAACATTTATGGGGTCCTTCCCTGTTCCAGAAAACCTGATCACCTTATCTGGTGGTGTCAGACTCCTCCCCTACCAATAAGACCTCTGGCAAGGACTAGGACATGCAAGGCTTTCAGAGCCTGTTCGTATTACCAGTCACAGAGACATCACAAAGACAGAAAACAAGAAAAGACACAAGGACTTACCTGGGACATGGGTGTTCAGTAGTCCCTGGAAAAATGTCCAGCCAGCTATGCGGATATCACTAAAATCACCCCCTTTCCCTTTGCTTCTTCCTTAACTGGTATGCAGGTCCTGGACCTGGAGCTGCCACCTAGTCCCCCTGTCACTGAGGTCGCCACTCCAGAGCCGGGCATCTACCATGGGATCTGTGAGTATCCTCTCCTGGGTCAGTGTCAGGTGGAAGGAGGACCTTCAGGGGCGGGGAAAGTCATGGTCACTTGGGGTGGGGTCTTCTGAGACAGACAAGCTGAACACCACACAGAGATGCAGGCCGTGGGGCAAGCCGGGGCCGAAACCAGCATGAGCAAAGAAAACCTGCTTTCTCTTTGCCCCAGGTCTCCAGAGTTTTAAATGTTGGTGACTAATTTTATAATATTTTAAAACACCTCATGAGCCAAACAAAACACGTGTGTGTTCAGCCAGCTGGCTGCCAGTTGGTGGCCTCAACCAAATCCCATCTGGGTTTCACCGTGTCTGTTCTTCTCTCGTCTTTTCCCATTTGACCTTCCAGCCGGTTCCTCCCTTGCTCGACGCTCAGGCCAGCACCTCGGCCTGCATCCTGGGAATCTTCAGGCCAGAGGTCGAAGCTGACTGTGACCTCCTCCCTCCCGATCCCTGTTAACAAGGCTCTGTCACTCACCTGCTCCTTTTTCTTGCCTCCCGTGTGTGTCATCCGCTTCCATTTATCTTCTGACGATAAGAGATGTGCCGTGCCATGGTCACGCTCTCTCTCCCCACCTTCCACCATCATCTCCAGAATGAAGCCAGAACCTCTCAGTTCGGCCTTATCTTTGCTACACTCCTTCCCACACCCATCTCCTGAGCCCACCTGCAGGCTTCTGTGCAAGCTGTGCCCTCATCTGGTGCACCCGCCCTCTGTCCTTGCCTGTTGAAGGCTGACCGTCACTGACTGGGTTCCCAGAGAGCAGACTCTGAGATAGAGTTTATTGGCTCGAGCTCTTGGGAGGACAGGGAGCAGGACTGGGCAGAGAGAGAAGCTGAGTCATAGCACACTCACGTCAAGGCTTCTGCCAGCTCCTCAGGGACGTCTGGAGCTGAGACAGCCCCTTGGAGTTGTCCTGGGCTGAGTGAGGAGGTGGAGACTTTATATGTCCATATCAATGTGTCAGTGGATATGGGCTGCCCCTGGAAAGGGCAAGGCCAAGGGCGGTCACAAGTGGGGGACTCGGTTGAGAGCTGTCAGTGACCAGCACTCCCAGCTGCTGGGGGACGGAGTCCTTCAGTCCTGGGTGTGGGAGGTGGCGTCTGTGTGGGGCCCCACGGCATCCTCCATACCCCCTTCCTAGGGCCCCGAGGCAACCCCAGCTCCTTCCCAGGAGCTCTTCCCCATGTGCCCACTGAGAATTAATCTCTCCCTCACTTACCCCACAAAGACCAATTACCTCGTAGAAAAGAGGGAGATGCTTATTTTGAATCCTTGCAGCCCCTTACATTCCAGGACACTCAACTACATTAGAACAACAGAGCAATTTAAAGAGCCAGCCTGATGTAGGCGAGAGCTGGCTCGAGGCTTGGTTTCATCTCCCATTCAGGCCCTGTGCGGGGCTTGCCCCGTCTTATCTCATTGAATCCTCACAGCTCTCTTTCTCTCCATTTTCTAGATTAGATTAGGAAACTGAGGCTCAGACAGATTGAGTAGGCTACCTAGGGTCACACAGCTGGTACTAAGGCCGTGAATGGAACCAAGCATGTCTGAACTCAAAGCCCATGTCCTCGCCACTCAACATACTGTCACAGGGCTCACGCTGAGAGACAGCCTCACCGCAGGTCCTCGCGAGAAGTCGGCCTCCCCCGCAACTGTGAGGTCCGGGAAGATAGCAATCATGGCTTGTTGTCTGGTCTCCCCTACTGTGGTCAGGATTATTCTTCTTCCTCCAATTTTTTTTTATTTTTGGTGGACAATGGAAATGAATTCAAACTGAGTTAAGCAAAAAAAAAAAAAGCAATTTATTGGTTTATGTAACTAAAAAGATTTCTAGTTTCCCATACAGCTGGATCCAGGTGTGCAAATGACGTCATCAAGCCTTGCCGCCTCCCTCCATCTCTCTGCCCTGTTTTGTTCTCCCTTGCCCTTCTCCATTCAGACTCTGTCCACAAGGGAGCTCCTGGGAGCTCTGGGCTCACATTCATGCTTCTACATGGCCGTCCCAACTAAAAGAGAATTTCTACTTCCCAATAAGTCCAACAGTCATCCCAGAATTACATCTCCTTGGTCTGGCTTGGATCACATGCCCCAACATTCTTAAACCAATTCCTGTGGCTACCAGGTCTGAGATGGAAAATGTGGATCGGCCGGGCCTGGGTCAGGGGCCCATTGCTGGAGCCAAGGATAGGGGTCAGCCACCCAAGCAGTGCTCTGGAGGGCATCAGAGTGCCGTAACCAGAGAGAAAGAGAGACAGCTGGCCAGCCAGAAGCAGCCACTGTCCCCTTCATCTTATGATTTCCCTAAAGATGCTGTCTGTAAATGTCTTTCCCACTGAGCCAGCTCTTGACCTTTCTCAGATATGTGATTTCAATGCCTTTGGGAGCTCTGCTTTGGAGTAGAGCTCAGAGAGACCTTTTTTGCTGCAAGAAAAGTGTAATTTCCCTGCTCTCTACTAAAAACCTCTTGACCAAGTACCTCTGCACGTTCTGAAGCCTGTGATTTCTGAATCTCTCTTCTCTGAGCCTTTGGCTTTTTCCTCACTGTATCCAAAATCCTAAACCACCTTGACCAACCTGTGCAAATGGGGAGAGCTTTGGTGCAGTCACCTGGGGGCTGCATTGGGCTTGGTAAAAACAGCCGATCCTGTCAGTGTTTTGAAAGGGGATATACGACTTGCTTATTTACAGATGGCACTGGTTTTGGACGTTTTGCAGATATCAGCAGTGATGAATAGGAAAGGAACTGACAGAGTTGAAACATGGACAAGGAGTAACAAAATTAATTTCCATGTATATAAATACTAATTGATACACCAGAGGGAAATGCATATGGAACATGGATATTAGCTCAAACAGAAGTCTTGTTCAAAGCAGCCCCAAATTAGATAGCCTCGCAGAGCATCTTGCCAGGCAAACAAAGGGACTGCGACTTGTTTCAACAAAGGGAGCTGGCATTTCTCTGACACGGATCCCCCTCATCCAGATCTCCCTCCTTCACCTCCAGGCCTTTTCCATCTCAGGGTGGTACCCACAGCTACTCTGTCATTTGGGCCACAAACATTTTTTCTTTTTCCCTCATTCCACACAGGCCATTAAGAATCCTGGCAATGCTGTGTCCAAAACAGATGCTGAATCTGTCCCCTTCTCTGTTTTCACTTGTCACCCTTGTTCAGGCCATTGGTACTGCAGTGCCCTAGAGAGTCCAACCCGTGTGTTTTCCGAGATGCAGATCAAATCGTGTCACTCCCCTGCTTCAAAATTTAACCCTTCAGCAGCACCCCATCGCAGAGAAGAATGCCCAGATAGGATCTAGCCCCTGCCTAACCTTCGGATCTCATTTTCCACGACCCTCGCCCTCTGTCACTTGGTTCTCACCAAGGCCTTTGCCCTTGCTGTCTTCTCAGCCAAGAATGTTCTTCCAGAAACGCTGAAGAATGGCAGCATCTTCCCATCACCGAGGTCTCAGCTCACACGTCACCCCCTCAGAGAGGCCCGCTGACCACCCCTACGACTACTCAGTCACTCCCGAGCCCATCTCTTTTCTCTTTTTCATGGTATTCATCACTCTCTGGAACTATCATATTTATTTGTTTATTAGGTGTTTATTGTGTGTCTCCACTGCAGTGGAAGCTCCTAGAGAGATTTTTGCTGTCAGGGCTTGGTACCTAGTGGAAGATCAATATTTGTTTCCCATTAACTATGAATTTGGTGAAACTCGATGATTTCCCTTTGATTAATTTACCTGCAGGTATTTACCGAAGCCTACTCTTCAATCAATCATTTATTTAAAAAGAAAAAAGCCTTTACTGACCATGTGTTTCAGATCCTTTTCTAGGCTCTGGGGATACAGTAGTGAACAAAGTCAACAGAGTCCCTGCCCTCAGGGGGCTTCCAACTTAGTGGCAAAGACTAGTAAAAACCAGTTAGCAAGTACGTGTAGAATATAATTTCAGGTAGTAATAAGTGCTGTGACAAAATATAGAGTAAGGACTGATGGGGAAGTGGTGCTATTTGAACTCGGGCGGTTAGGGAAGGCCTCTCGGAGGAGATGACATTTGGAGAGAGACTTGTGATAAGAAGGAGTGTATCAGTTAGCTTTTGCTGCTGAACTAACAAACCCAAACTTTATGCTTAGTACAGCCACCAGTCAGTCATGATTGGCTCATAATTCAGTGACTTGGCTGGGCTGGGCAGTTCTTCTCATCTGAGCTGGCATTGTTGGGCCTGCTCATGTGTCTGGTCAGCTGGCAGATGGGCTGGCAGCTAAATGATCTAGAATGCCTTCAACGTCCGGCAGTTGAGAGGCTGTTGGCCAGAGTGACAGGGCGACTGGGCCTGTCACCTGTCACCTGGCTCTTTCACGTGGCAAGACTCCAAGTGTGGTGAGAGAGGACAAGCCCCAGTGCACATGTGCTTTACGGCCTCTGCTTGCAGCACCTTTGCTCTGTCCCATGGGCCAAAGCAAATCACAGGTTCAAGGAGCAGAGAAATAGACCTCACTTGTGGATGGGAGAAGCGGCAAAGTCACATTGCAAAGAGGCAAGGACTGGGTGGGAGGACTCAGTGACCGTTTTGTATGCTACTGGTGCTATGAGAAACTATGATGTGCCTGGTACCCTGCCGGTCACACATCTTTTTCATCTATCCCCACGGTGCTCAGAGTTACCTTGGCACCATGACAAGCAGAAGGATCTGAGGCTGAGCTACAAAATGTGTGTTGGAAATGACAGGGGTGTAGGAGAGGAAGCCAAGCTCCAGGGAGGTGGTGTGGCTTGGTCACAAGGATGTCCTCCACCTCCTCATCTGAGCTGAAATGGGTGGGACCACGTGACAGCCAGGCTTTTTTCTTCCAACACTATATTGGTGTCATTCTGTGAAAAGACTCAGAGCATGGATTTTTTGAATACAGCCGCCCAAAAGGGTGCTAAAATAGGCTCCAAGTTCCCCAAAGGTAGAAAAGTTCAGGGCTTCATCCTTCTCTAATGGGAGACCATTAAGTAAGAGAAGTTCCAGCCAAATATCTAATAGGGCCTGACCAAGGGTTTCACTTGGTTTGAGCTTTCTGGGCAAGTGGATGACTCACCTGGGCCGTTTTGCCCCGGGATTACAGAAGATCACTTCTAAATGGTCTCTAATGGAGCAGGGGTCGGGAGAGGCCAAAAGATGGAGATGTCACCAGAGGTCACTTCCTTTACCCCAAATCCACGTGAATCCTCATGGCAGTGGCCAATTTGCATAAAATGTCTATTTTCGGTGTCGTGACTTTCTGATGTAGCTGCCTCCATTTAGTTACTTCTTTAATCATTCTATCTATACTGAGCTCCTACTATATGCTAGGCTCTGGGGACACCGCGGTCTAGTAAAATAGATGGGGTTTCTGTCCTCAGGGAATTAACCATCTGTCAGGGCAGAGGGGTATTTACCAAATGATCACAAGACCACAGTGACCAGGACATGGAAGGGGAAATTCACGGTGACAGGCTATGAATGGAGCTCTGATATAGTCAAGGAAATCGAGAAGGCTTCCGTAAGGAAGTGAGCTAGGATCTGAAGAATGAGCTCAAGTTAACCAGGCCATGTGAGTTCCAGAGAGAGAACTGCATGTGCAAAGACCCTGTGATTGGAGAGAGGAATATAAATATGAGTGACTGAATGACGGTCTTAATGGAGCCAGGCACCCCTGGTGCAAGATGAGGTTAGAGAAATGGAAGCCATGTGGGCAAAGCCTGCTGGCCAAGCAATGTGTGAAGCCACACTGAAGTGTTAAGTTTCAGATGAGGTGACATGATTGGTAAGTGGAGAATGGATCCAGGACTGTGTGCAGGGTTAAAGGACACTGGTTCATTCATCCTGCTGACCTTTCCTGCACCCTAGCAGTGTCCCAGGCCTGAGAGCCACTAAAAGGAAAGGTGCAGAGCCCACCGTGAAGACACTTTCATCTGAGTCTGGTTTTCAAGCTGATAGAATACAGAGATAAAGATCATTCCTCCTCTCATCTCCATCTTAGGGACCTCTTCCAGAACCTCTGGTGTTCACAGGTCACTTTTCTCTCTATTGCAGGCCTTCAGCTGAATTTCACTGCCTCCTGGGGGGACCTGCACTACCTGGGGCTCACGGGCCTGGAAGTGGTGGGCAAGGATGGCCAGGCACTGCCCATCAACCTGCACCAGATCTCCGCCTCCCCCAGAGATTTAAATGACCTCCCTGAATACACTGATGACTCCCGGACCCTGGACAAGTAGGTGTCTGTAAGAAGCTTAACTTTCATGACAGTGGGGGCTGGGGGACCCGTTCTGCCTCTTAGATTTCAGATTCAAACATCAAATAGCAACCTGTATTCCATCTTCTCCCAGCCACCCTGTGAGGTCTGTGGTTGTCCCATTTTATAGTCAAGAAAAACCAAGACTCAGAAAGGGAGGTGACCCTCCCAGGGCCACACAGCTGGAAGTGGTAGGCAGGGTTCGAAGCCAGGTTCTCCTGCTTCCAGACAGAGTTTTTCTCTGTGTTTTGTCCACTGGACTTTGTGTAGGACCTCGAGCACAGTGGCTGCTCAGTAAGGCTTTGCCGGGACAGCTCTCAGTGGCCAAAAGCTTTTCCCTCCTTGAGGTTGGAGGTGATTGCTGAGGAAGTCTCCATACTTACCCCTGCATTTGTCAGATTGCATACGGCCAGGTTGGGTCAAGTCAGTAAGAGGACAAGCCTGAAATATTGCATTGATCCATGGGGCCCCTTAACCTGCCCTTCCTGGACATGTGAACAAGAATCATCTAGGGGAGTCAGAGGAATGAGAGTTCAAATCTTGGCTGTGCCCCTGGCAGCTAGTAAGTTTCTTAACCTCTTCAATAATAATGGCAATGATAATAATAATAGTAATAACTGAGATTATAGTTGCCATTTTTTGAGCGGTTATTAAATGCCAGATGCTGGGTTATGCTAAGCGGGTGACAGATATTCATCCATTTAAACTTTAAACAGCCTAAAGAGGCCCCCATGTAAACTGAGGTGCAGAGAGGTTAAAAACTGGCCACAGGTCACCCAGACAGCTGTGAGTAGTGGAGTCATGATTTGAATGTAGGTCGATGAGAGACTAACACCCATACACTTAACCACTAAGTTATTCTGTTTTCTCCTGCCTTAGTTTCCTTATCAGTAGAATGGTGACAATAAATCCCACGGCTGGAGTGTGGAAAAGGGATTGCCACATGACAGCTCTACTCCGTGCCTGGCCCAGAGCGTGTGCAGGGTCGGTGGTAGAGCCCTCCCTATTCCAATAAGGTGCCCTTTAACTGTAGCCCTCCTGTCCTGCTGTCATTGTCTGCTCAGGGGCCACGCTGTTCTCTGTGTCTTAGCAAGTCACACTTTTGTATATTTAGACTTGGAGCCCATGGACCCAGCTCCTGGCTGCATACCCCACTTGTTCATCTATATCCACCCAGTTACCACCCCTCTGCCCAAATTATTGCAGCAAATCCTGGGCCTGATAGCATCATCTCTAAATATTTCAGTATGTATCTCTAAACAATAAAGACTTTAAAAGGAAAACATAATCTCAGTATCATTATTATACCTAAAAATATTATCATTTTTTAATTTCTAGATATCTAGCATGTCCCTATTTCCCTGACAGTTGTTTCTTGGATTGAGATCCAGATAAGGCCCCTCCATTGTGATTAGTTGGTTTGAGCCCCAGCTAAGGTTTCTACATTGTGATTGGTTGATTTGAGCTCCAGATAACGTCTCTACATTGTAATTGGTTGATTTGAGACCCCACTATGGTCCATACATTGTGATTGGTTGATATGTCTCAAGCCTCTTATAATCTCTTGCTTCTCTTCCATCTTTAAAAAAAAATTTTTTTTTTAATTATTTGTTGAAGAAACCAAGTTTTCTGCCCTGTAGAGTCTGGATTTTACTGGTTGCTTCTCTATGGTATTGATTAACCTGTTTCTTGGACCCCTTTATTTCTTGTAAATTGTTCATTAGCTCCAGAACCCTGATCAGATTGAGGTTTGACCGTTGGGGAAAGATATGACCCTTGGGTTGTTATTACTGTGTATCCCCTTCAAGACATGTTCGATGTCTGGTTGTCAAGCAATTTGTGACATCGGTAGGCAGTGCTCTGTGGCTAGATCCATTATTCAGGGTTGCACACTAGCAGTACATTGATTCTATTATTCTTTTTTTCATCATTAAAGAGAAATTTTCCCTGGTTATTGCACAATTCAAATAGGAAAGGCAGTCTAAAATGCTTGATTCCTTCCCTTTATTTTTTAGTTTTCAAAATAACAAATTGTTTCTCTAGCATCTTTTAAAATGTTTAGTTGTTTTTGACTATAATAAATCATGGATTTAATATACTGTGTGAGAAGGGTTTCAGTCTTTTGCAGTTTTTTATCCAATTGATGCTCTTGGACACTGGGAGTTCCCGAATCCTTTTTGAAGTAGCAGTCTCTGAGAGCTTCCCTGCTTTCTGACCCGACAAGATAGTTCAGCCTCATCTTGTATCTTTCGTTTTTAAACACTATTTTATTATGTAAGTTTCAGGTGTACTTATCTTGTATATTTCTTGTTCCAGACATGGAATCAGCCATTTCTCCACTAAGCCCTGGTTCCTTCTAGTGGGAAATGGTATTTAGAGACCATAGTCTGGCTACTAGGGTAGGGATACTCATTGCTACTAGGTTGGTCATTTTTTTCTAGGCTGTTTTGTGGACACTGCTAGGAAGTACCATTTAGATATTCTTGAGGGCGTCTGGAGGGACCTCCCTTCACTGTCAGCTATAAGTGCTTCAGCAGTTCTCTCTACTCTCAGAATCGGGCAACAGTTTTGCTATCAAGGCAGCTCTAGTTTGAGGTAGGACAGATAGGTAATTGCTTTTAGAAGGAAACAGAAGGTTCTCTAGTGGTAGTTCTCAGTCAGCTTAATTCCACAAATACCCCAGTGTTAAATTGCTGAATTTCCTCAGTTTTAAGATGCCAGAAATTGTAAGACATATCATCCATCAGTTTAATAACAGCCTTTTAGAGAAAAAAAAGAAACAGTATCTCCTTGGATGAACACTTAGCTTACAAGATTTGTTCCAAATCTAAAACTTTAAACTGTTAAAGGAAAAAATAAAGTTTATTTTAAAACCCAGGAAACACGGCAGCGGCCCAAGTTTCTCCCATTGTAGCAGCTTCAAAGCCACCAGGAAAATGGGAGGGAGAGGAGAAGGCATTGCCCGAAAGACCGAGAGCAAGGCTTCTGTCCCTGGGGCCAGGCCTCGCAGTGGCAGTGCCGGGCACACGAGCCAGAGCCACGAGGGTTGGGATCTGGGCTGAGGTGAGCTGGGCAGCCCAGAACAGCCAGTGGCAATATGGTCTTCGTGACAAACACAGGCAGAGCTGAGGAGGATGAGGCAGGGTGTCCTGAGCAGGAGAACCAGAAACTGGCCAGGACGGGAGCGCAGCACGGGCAAGGCACCAAGTTCAGAACCGCGGTTAAGAAGAACATGAGGGTGCTGGGGCTCCCTCCTAATGCCGTGAGGCTCCCTGAGACACCCAGGCTGTGTGGTCGCAGGCCAGACCCGCTCCCCACGGAGGCACCTGCCTCTTCTTGTACTTGCCCCACACCAGGAGCTGCCGGGTTCACGCTGGGGCTTTAGTATCTCTCTCCCCCAGCACAGGAAAGAAGGGATAGAATTCTATCAAAATGTGCCATTGAGTAAACATAGAATTTTACAGAAAGCCTAAAAAATAGAGAAAAATATTCACCTCCCATCCCCTCTGACTCAACTGTATTTTTCACTTTTGCATTCTCTCTCCTGGTCCTTGTCCTCATTTCGCAGTGTTGAGCTCAGTGCCCCCGCCATCCCGTCGCCTGCCTTTCCCGTGTTACTGCATCGTCCTCACGATTGTCATTTTTAACAACTGTACAGATTTACTTAATATTTTCCCTATTTTGAGACCTCTTAGGTGATCTTTTTTCCTAATATGAATAAATGAGACTATAATGAAAATCTTGGTGCCGATAGCCCTTCCAACATGTTGAGTAAATTTTCCTCAAGGGAAAACAATTCCAGAAATGGGATCACTGGGTTAAAGGGTCCTGAAAAATGACACATTTTCCCAGCTTTTAAAAAATTTTGGCGGTCACTTCACTGTACCTTAACAGCGTAGACTGTTATTTTTTCCCGTTTTCTTATTTTGTCTGATTTCACAGATGAGAGGTGGCCTTTACTGTTGCTTTAATTAGTCTCACCTCCGTTAAAGCATGTGATCCAGCCAGGCTTGTGCTGGGCTTGAGCTGCAGTGGGGGATGAGTGGGTGTAGACCCCACGCTGCGATTTCTCCCGGCAGACCGGGCCACCCCACCTCACCACTCCTTCCCCGCTGCGTGCAGGTTAATCGATGGAGCCAACATCACAATGGAGGACGAGCATATGTGGCTGATCCCCTTCTCGCCGGGGCTGGACCACGTGGTCACCATCCGCTTCGACAGAGCCGAAAGCATAGCGGGCCTGCGCTTCTGGAACTACAATAAATCTCCTGAGGATACCTACCGAGGGGTAAGCCAGAGAACAGTGGCCGTGCTCGGCCCACTGTCAGGGAAATGGTGCCTTGATGAATGGCTGGCGTGGCTGCCAGAGAGGAGCATAAATCCTCCAGAACCTTCCAAATGGAGCTGGGGGTTACATGCAGGGAGAGAGCATGCAGCTGTTTCTTCTGCAAACAGCAGATGCAGGCTGAAGAGCCCAGGCAGACTCAGAAAACTGCAGTACCTTGTCTTCTCCAAGGGTCCCGAGATCCGCAGCAGGCCCGGCCCCTACCTCATCATGGCCTGTTGCAGCCCTGTGTTCACTGAGTGCTTCCTGGGGCCAGGCATTTCACTGGAACCTCATCCCAGCCTCTGGGAGGCAGATGTTATTACTCCATCTCTCAGGGTGTCAAAAAGTGAGGTTCAGAAAAGTCCATTCGTTCATGCAGGGTCACACAGCTAGAGCCCCATCCACGTCTGCTGGGCTGGGAACCCACCTCCACACTGGGTTCTTCTGCTGAGTGTGAAAAAGCAGAAAAAGAGGAAAATAGCATCAGAAACAGGCTTCTCTGACCTGTATGACTATGAACCATGAAACATTTATCCCCTTCTACTACACAGAAGTGACGATGATAAGGTCACCCGAAATACGGCAATGCAGCTGGGGCCTAAGGCCACCAGGCCCTGAGTATGACTCTCCACTCTGACCTCATCAGCTGAGTGACCTTTGGAAAGTGGTCTGCTTTCCCTGGGCCTCAGTTTCCTCATCTGTTAAACCACAAGGAGGATGATACCTGCTTTAGGAGGGTGGTCGTCACCCCTTGCTACACAAAAGGGGACAAAGCCAGGACTTGGCCTCGGGTCCTGTGAGCCCGGGTCTGGGCTCTCCCCAACATATGTGCCACAGAGTTCTTCGCGGGACCTGTGGGAGCCTTGAGGACGCAGTGGGCCAGTGGCCCCAGCCCGCCAGGCGCTCTCCTTCCCGAGCAGCAGCTCCTCTGAGTGTGCCATTTACAGACCCTCCCTGGGCCGCCCTGTGTCTGTGCAAGCATGCTCTCAGGTGCAGCACATTTAAAGTCAGATACACTGGCAATGAAAAAAACATTCTTTAGCTCGACTCGTGCCTCCAGGTCTCTCCATTCTTTTGAGCGAATCAGTCTTTCCATTAGTGCTTCTGTGACCTGGATTCGCTGCCTGGAAACGTCGGGCCCAGAGCCCCTGCTTCCCAGGCCTGGCCTCCACCAGCCTCCGTGCCTGTGCCAAGTGGCCACTGTGGGAAGAGGGAGATGGGCAGAATCTGAGAGAGTGGATCCCACAGCACAGTGTAATGGATGCCCCCCAGCAAAACGCACTGGATGCCTAACCCCCAAGACCCTGCTGGGCACCCTGCATACAGGCCCCGGGCATGTGGTTAGGGCCATGCCTTGGACTCCTGGAGATTGGGCTTCATATCACTCCAGTGTGTCCTTGGGAAAACTGCTTAGCCTCTCTGAACTCTAATTTGTTAGCTCTAAGATGGAAGTGATAATAGACACCGCCTCCAAGGGAATGAACAGAAGCCTGGGGAAATCACGGACCCTTCCTGGAAGAGGTGGTGACCCCGGGCAAGGGCTTCCTGGACGTCTGCTTTGCTCTGTTGCCAGCTTCATTTTCAGGCAGCTTTCTCCACATGGCAAACCCTGGCAGCCCTAGGCTTATGTCCCACATGCTCCAAGTTCAACAGAAGAGAGAACTCCTCTTTTGAGGCAAGCCAGCAAAACCCCAGGAGTCAGGCTGACTGTTCTGGTCGAGTTCCATGATGAGAACCAATCACATGACCAGTAGGTCAGAGTCCTCAATTTAGCCATGCTGGGGTTACAGGTCCAGTCCTGTGGTTAGAGTAGGAATTATCCTCCAAGAAAGCAGAGCAGAGATACAGTAACAGCTTTTGGGCCCCCCTATGCAGCCATGCATAAAGCCAGTCATCATACGCTTTCCAGGTTTATGTGCCCTGTGACTGACTGACTGACAAAATGGAGGGCTCCCTCAATGCTGAAGGAACAAAGGGCTCCAGGTGCACATGAGTTACCCATGAGACCCAGGCAAAGCCCTTTTCGTTCTGCATGGAGGAGCCCTCTACATCTGAAGGTGAAATTCTACCAGTTTGGTTGGCAGCTGGTCCCACATTGCTAACCATGAAGGTGGGGTAAGGCACTGAGGAGCCCCGATTCCAAAATGTGTGATTGGAGAAAGGGTGCTGATGTATCGCCCCTTTCTGCTCACTCACCACCCTCTACCCAGGGGAAACAGAGCTGAACCACCTCACACTTTGCCATTAAGGCTTTGAGATTTACTGCTAGATCCTGGCCATTTGGCTGGCAAAATCTGGCCTAGAACAAAGGACCTGTTGGCCCAAATCTAATTGACTCAGCAAGCTTTTGGTAAGCACCTACTGTGTGCCAGGCCCTGAGGCAGATACAGAGATGGTCCAGCTGCCAAAGGAGACCCAAAAACCACCAAGGACACTACTAGGAAGCATATGCCCTAGACAGCAGTCCCCAACCTTTGTGGCACCAGGGACCGGTGCTCCTATGAGACTCTAATGCCCGATGATGGAGGTGGAACTTGGGCGGTGATGCTAGCGCTGGGGAGCGGCTGCAAATACAGATGAAGCTTTGCTCGCTCTCCTGCCGTTCACCTCCTGCTGTGCGACCTGGTTCCTAAGAGGCCACAGACTAGTAGCCGTCAGCAGCCAGGAGGGTTGGGTACCGCTACAGTCCTAGAGGTTGAGAATCGCTATGAGAAGAAAGAGCAGGAAGTGCTAGGACCGGCGGTGACGCTGAGCCAGGGTTTGAGGAAAGAGCGGTACAGGCTGACAATTGTTGAGTGCGTGTTTTGTGCCAGGTACTGTTCTGTCCTGGATGCTTTCCATAAGTTAACTCATTATTGAGCCCATTTAACAGATGAGGGGTTTGAGGCATGGGGAAGTTAAGTAACTTGCACAACTACTAATAGTAGATGTCAGAGCACTTGAGCCCATGGCCTTGACCACCATGTCGTACTACCGCAGGCCACTGCAGCTGAGTGGACTGGAGAATGTCTGTACCTGTCTGTTGTGGCAGGGCCACACCTGCCTTATCCCCTACTTATGCCCAGTACCCAGCACAATGCCTGGCACAGAGTATGGATGAGTCTGGAAAGCGGCCCCCGCCAGGTGGTTTTGATGAAGGAGAAAGGCCAGCCCAAGCTGTTTCTCAGGCTGGGGGCTCCGTGGAGGCTCTCTGTCGCAAATCCAGCTGCCAGCAGCATATACCGCTGTCCTCCACGCTGGCTTCTTCCTTCAGGCATGTTTTTTCTTCTGTTTGCTAGGCCAAAATCGTCCACGTCTCCCTGGATGGCCTGTGCGTCTCCCCTCCAGAGGGCTACCTCATCCGGAAGGGGCCGGGCAACTGCCACTTCGACTTTGCTCAGGAAATCCTCTTTGTGGACTACCTACAGGCTCGACTCTTGCCCCAGCCAGCCCAGAGGTGAGAGCAGCACCGCGCGTACCCCTCCCTGTCCGCCGGCGTCGGCTCTGCGCCGTGCTCTGAAGTGTCCACCTAGAGCATTTTGAAATGGTGATCAAACGCATTGCTTTTCAACTCGGCCATTTCTAAAGCTCAGTGAAGCCTCTCCGGAAGCTTGGGGAATATACCCACCTTGTCTGGGTGTTTGAGTTTCTCACAGTCTGGAAACCTTGAGATTTTAAATGCTCCGTTACACTTCCTGCTGGGAAAAGAGGATCTCTAGTCTGCCTGATTCCAGAAATGCCCGCTGGCTGATTTGGGGGAGGACCTTCCTTCTCTTGTTTCTGTGTTCTTGATTTAGAAAGATTCAAAAAGAAAAATAGGGCCTAATATTTCATGGATTCACTGGGATTTCTTGGCCCTAGTCTCAGCCGCAGTAAGTTCATAACAATTTGTAAATGCCACATTAAGGTCACTCATTTAAACCCCCTGATGTCCAAACGCCAGAGGCAAAGCTCTTGAAACAAAATGAATTTCCCTCCACTGCATCTAGGATCACTTCTTGGGCCGGTCACTGGGAACAGTCACTTAATTATAACATTGCCCTTGAAATGGAAGGAAACCTGGCCAGGGCTGGAGGCCACTGGCTGTAGACCAGGGAGAGAAGTCCAGTGGGAAGAAATATGGAGGCAGAGAGAGCTCTCCCTCCCAAGTGCCTGCTCTGTGCCAGATGCTTCGTATTCATTCAAGTAGGGATTATTATGCCCATTTTACAGACGTGGGAACTGAGGCCCTGGCTAGTGAAGCCACTTGCTCAGGATCAGTAAGCCAAAGCCTTCAGGGCACTCCCCACCTTCCAGCCTCCTTTGCCTGTCCTCCTCCCATCCCACCCCCTACTCAGCCCCTTTGGCTACTCTCTGTGGCAAACACCAACACCCCAGCCCCTTCCCACCTCAGGGCCTTTGCTCTGGCTGCTCCTGTGCTTAGGAGGCTCAGCTCAGACTCTTCCCACAGCTGCTGCCTCCTCGGCTCAGACTCTGCCTCGCCACCGCTGCCCATCCCCCATCACGGGTCTCACTCAGCTCTTAGCACAGCGTGGAATTTCCTTGTTTGCGAAGGGGCAGTAGGAGTCGTTAAGAGAGCGGACTCTGAAACTGGGCAAACTTGGGTGACATCCCACTTCTGCCTCTGACTAGCTGTGTGACCTTGAGCAAGTGACTTCAACTCTCTGTTCTCCAGTTGATCCTCATTCACAACCCAGAGATATAAGAGTACCCACCTCCTAAGGTAGAAGAGTCCATGTCGGCCAAGCCTGAGAATGGCCTGTGCTGGGTTGGCCGTGACCAAGTAGAATGGGAGCTGCACGCGAGCGGGAGCTCAAGCTGCCTTTCCCCACTGCACTACCATATGTCTTCAGTGTCTAACTCCCGGGAAACAACTGACCAGCAGTTCTGGCCATCGCAATCTTTTGCTTACTGGTACTATTTTTTTTTTTTTTTTCAGGCTTGATACGAAAAGCCTGGAGCGGGCGAGCATGGACTATGAGGCACCACTGATGCCCTGTGGCTGTATCCTTCCCCTACCCCATCCACACGTCCTGGGCCCTCGAGGGCCAGGCCTGGAACCCAGAGAGAGGGCAAGGTCTCGCGGGGTCGAGGTGGGGTCTGGGCCGCCGCTACGGGCCAGGGTTCCAGACGGGCCTCAGCTGAGGCGCCTGAAGGACCTCGGTTTCTTGGGAGAGGATGGGAGGACTCGTGGTTCCTCGGGCACGTGGGGTGCTGCTGGGACTGGGGCAGCACAGGAGTTTCGGATCCCATCCCCCCGAGGGTACAGGAGGCAACACTAAGGACTCTAGCTGGGAGGGGCCAGAGAAGCTAGACCTGACCCCAGGGTCTAGCCTGGGGTCAATCCTTGGGACCACGCAGGGAGGAGAAGATAGAAGGGCTGGACCCCTGTGGCGGCCCCACACTGTTCAGTGGGTCGCCTGCGTTAACTCACTGTCTTAGCCTCCTGTGGTGGGCACCTTTCCCATCCCCATTTCACAGCTGGGAAGACTGAGGCAGGGCGTAACCTGCCCAAGGCCACACAGCTGGGAAGGAGCAGGGCCGGGCTGGTGAATACGGGCAGCCTGGCTCTCACGAGCTGTTCTCCTGGAGGGACCGCCTTTGGCCCTGGTATCACTGGGAGCCACACTGCTAGCCCTGAGGTTTCCTGCCTGCCTGCTCCTGGGAATGCTGGGAGTGAGTTAGGCCAGGGGACAGGGCCGAGAAAGGGCTCGATGCCGGGTTGTGTATGTGGGACTCAGTCAGCAATGGTCGGTCACCCTGCCGCAGCCCATCCCTCCTGATGCTCTAAAGCTCACGTATTCCCCCTGCACCCCAACAACCTACACACTTTAAATGGATGGAGGAGGGAATAGGTTCTCTGATCTGGTCATTTTACAACTAGGGACACTGAGGCACGAGACAGTTTCAGGCCTGGCCAGTTAGTTTAGCATCATACAATGAGTTCGTGTCACAGATGTCTCCTCATCCTGCCAGCTCCCTGGAGAGCATCGTCCCCTCCCGTCCTCCTGTCTCCTGGGGCCTGGAGAAAGGTTTTGAATTCTTCACACACACACATACACACACACAATTTAAATTAAAGAAAATCCGATTCCACGTATTTTGATAGGTTTCAGTCTCAGTGAGAGAAAAAAGTCATTTTCTTCTCCTGTTCATCTATATAAACCAAAAAAAAAAAAAAAATTATATCCCTATATTATCTTTGTCATTGTTTTACTTTGTTCTCAGAAAATTAACCCTGATTTTCCTTAATAACATGTCCCAGTCATTTTTCAGTTTCAGCTCCTGACCAGCTGGGGCGACCCCTATTACATTGGTCTTACGGGCCTGGAGCTCTATGATGAAAGGGGAGAGAAAATCCCTCTGTCAGAAAACAGTATCCTTTCTGTCTGAAGGGGCCCTACCGTGGCTGCGGGGAGCCTGGAAGGTCAGGGGGAGGAGCAGAAGCCTCCAATGTGGAGGGAACTATCCCTGTAGGAACCAGGCCTGAGATGAAAAATACCACTGTGCTCTTTTCACAGTCAGACGCTGACCCTTGGGAGTGGGCAAAGCAACGAGCGGCTCCCAGCCATGCCTAACAGGAGTTCCACAAAACAAAGAGTCCCATGGTCCAGGGAGTTGGGAGAGGCAACCAACTGCAGCCCCGCTTGGAGAACCACAGATATTTTGGAGTTCTAAAGGCTCTGACAAGGCCTGCAGGGGACAACCTGGTGCCTTGTGTTCAACTCAGTGTGTCCTGAAGTTATTGACCATGGAACCCTTTGATGTAGAATGTCCACATCAGAATTTGTAAACTGTTAGCCTGTCGAGTTTTTAACTCTTTTAAATTAGTTGCTAACATTTTTTAAAAATCAGGTTTCACATGAAAACCCTGATCTTTCTTCAGCTTCTCTTGAGAAAGTGGCGGTGAGAGGCCACAGGCATGCATGGCGACGACGGCTGGGCCTGTGTCCTGGCTGCCCGTCCCCAAGCGCATCCTTCCAGTGGACCTTAGTTCTTACTCACTGTTATCCACCGGCCCCCAGACCCAGGGTTTCTGTTTGCCGAGGGCCCGCTCTGTCCAGGAGCGGTACCAGGGCTTGTCGATAGTGCCAGATTTGCCCTCACAGCAATCTTGCCAAATGAGTGCTCTCGTTATCCCCATTTTGCAGATGAGGAATCGAGACACAGAGGTTGAGGAACTCGCCCAAGGTCGCACAGCCAGTGAGTGCTAGAGCTGAGAGTCTGGCTCCAGAGGCCATGTTCTTGACCACTGAGCTGTCTTGCCTCTCTTCGATGTAACCTGCCTGACCCTTCTGGGCTCTTGATCTGAGATCCCCGACTCACCACGGTTAAGGACCTGCTAGAGCAGGTCAAACCCCAAAGCCTGCCTTGCATCTCTTTGGGGTCCCTGGGCTCCACTTGGATCCTTTACTGCCTTCCCTGGTGACACCATTCTCCTCACGTGGAATAGAAAATTCTTGGTGTTTTTGATTGTTATCAGTGATTCCTTGGCTGCATAAAGCTCCATTGATTTTTACCAAGAACACTTACATCCAGTGTCCTCTGAGATCTACTGTCGATCCTGGGACATGGAGATTTTTATACCCATTTTATAGATGTGGAAACAGGCCCGGAGATGTGCTATGGCTTGCCCAAGATCTCACAGGTCAGAATCGCAAAGCCAGAGCCGGAATCAGGTTCTCTAGACCCACGTTAATGCTCGTCAGTAGAGTGGCCATAGCTAGGCCAGGCCCCTCCAGTCCTTGCAGTCTTGGCATGGCCCTCCCGTGCCCAGGCAGAATTTGCCCTCCACTTCCCTCAGTGGCAGAAGCATATTCTGTTCCTACCTCCAGCAGTTCTGTGAAACTCCTCTTCTCGGCCATCTCTCTGCATGGTTTCCTCCCCTTTCTTTGGAACTGGCCACCTCTCCTCACACCCCGACTCCTCTTGACCTCCATGTTCTCATTTTCCCCAGAACATGTCTAATTTGGCTGTCACTTCTCTGGCTGCCCAAAGCAGCGGACAGCTGCTCTGCCCACCAGCCCCGCCAGTCCCACCAGGCCCGGGGGCGCTTGAGCCCCATGGTCAGTGTGATGGATGCTGGCGGCCGCAAGAGTGGCACACGGTGCCAGGCACACTGCTTTGAGTTATGGCAGCTTAGAGGCCTCCTCAGATATCGCCGCCTTCCCCGACAGCGTGAACTCCCTGGAGGGCGTGTGCGGGGACATCCGGACCCCTGACAAGCTCATCGACCAAGTGAATGACACCAGTGATGGCAGACACATGTGGCTGGCTCCCATCCTGCCAGGGCTGGTGGGTTCCCAGAGGCTCTCGGCGCTGGGGTCGGTAGGGAGACTTTGCATCCCTGATCTCGGTGACACATCTTTCTTCCGAGCCAAGTTAATTTAGAACAAGTCAAAATGCCTGCGAGCCATCACGAAGGCTTAGGTCTTCGCTAACACATCTAAGGGGGCCAGCTATTCTAGGCCAGTGGTTTTTTCTCTTTCTCTGGGGGTCCTTATTATAAGTGGGCAACAGGGAGATAAAGGGCCACATGGGACTTGAAGCCGGGAAGCCCAGTGCAGCAGGCCTGGGGGCTTGGGCATCCGCTGGTCCTGTGGGCATCATTCTCTAGTTCTTTTTTCTGCCTCCGCTTCTCTCTGCAACCCACTCTGTCCTCTTCATTCCAGCCCCATCCTCTCCACATTCAAAAAACCTTCCTTATGTCACCGGACACTTGACCCTAATTATGCTCTCACTATAGCACCGAATCTGTGTAGTTGTCTCTTCTAACCAACTGACTCAACTTGCCCCAATCTCAGACCCTGCAGTTGGTCCTGCTTATCTTCTTTTCTTCAAGGCCTGATGAGGAGCCTAGGGATAGGCCATCGCCCACTTGGGCCCTCTGGGTGGTGGTAGATAGGAGAGAGGCCGGGAACAGGTGGGGTTAGCACCCACCAGCCTCTCAGCCACGGGGCCAGATGCCTGGGTAAGGATGTGCAGTCGGGTCTGGGGCATCTGTGTGACCACTGTGTCCCCTTTTCCACTTCACGTGATTATGCGGGAGGGTAAGGGGGTACATTTTCCTCTCAAAACACGGGAAAGGGCAGCATCAGCAGTTCTGTGATGGAAGTTTTTCAAAGGCGTCCCCCCATATTATCACCCCCTACAATCAAGGGTCCATCAGCTTCCCTTGAACAGAGACCAGCCTCTTAGCCCTCAGCCCCACTATTGCAAAAGGGAATATACAGATCTATCATCCCCTAGACCCAGGACCACAAACTCGTAGCCCCACTAGCGAGTCTAGCCTCCTGCCATCTTGAGTTTGGCCAGTTGTATTGCCCATCATCTTTTAACTGGGGCACTCAGAGGATGGCCTCAGGCTGAGCCCCAGGGCAGAACTGGGGCAAAACTAAGCCTGCAGCCTGTGGCCACCACTGAATGTTTGTCACTCCGTTCTGTCTTGCAAGGAGCCCCCTAATATTTGAGAGTCTTTGTTGGGGAGGGAGGACTAGAGGCTATTAGGTCCCACTTTACCAGCTGATTCTGCCACTGACTGGACCAGACCCTCTGCACTCCCCAGCAGAGGTTCAGAATCTTGTGCTGAAAATCACCCAGCAGTGCCTTCGGGGCCTGTCTGCAGCGCTTTTCATTTATGATTCGGGGAAAGGACAAACAGGGGTCAAGGCCGTGCTGATTGCCAGGGCCAGTGCTCCTTGACTCAGGAGTTGAGAACTGTCCCTGGGCCCACGTTGCCCCAGACTGTGCTTTTGGCCTAACCTGGGGGACGGGGAAGGGCACACCCAACTGTCCATGGGTATTTAAATGAGGGCCACACCAGACCCAAGAAAACGCCCTCCAAGAGCCAGCTCAGCGGTTTGTTGCAAACGCAGCCACACGTGACCTGACTTAAGATGGGCTTCGAGGAGATGAGAGGCAGCAGGAACCCCCTATGCCACGGCCCCGAGCAGCCCAGGCTGGCTCGCATGAGCAGGCACTGCCCGGGGCGTCCACAGGCTCGCCCCCTGCCCAAGCCCGGCACCCCCTGCCCAGCCCAATGCCTCTGTTTGCAAACATTCCTGTTTTAATTAGTTCTCTCTGACAGGTGAACCGGGTTTATGTGATTTTTGATCTGCCTACCACCGTGTCAATGATCAAACTGTGGAATTATGCGAAAACACCCCATCGAGGGGTGAAGGAGTTTGGCGTAAGTACTTATTAGCTGGGTTCTTTTAGATAATTATGCTCGTTGGTAATTAGGCTGCCGGCAATTATCATTTGTCGCAGTTTGATTGACTTCTCTCTGTTGCAACCTTAGACACAAATGCCTGGTCCTCCACGCAGGGAAATTTGCCATCCAACCGTGAATTCAAAACCTCCTCTGAGTGATTTGAATCATCACTCTGAAAAACAAAGTGGCTTTTTTTTCCCATCTTTTCTCCAAGAATAGTACTTGTTTAGGGAGTTCTTCATGCCAGGAGGCGACTCTGGGTTGGGGAAAGTGGGGACCCCAGGGGCCTCCCAGCTCTGCCTCGTGTGCTAAAGGTATTTCAGGCCCTCAAGCCTTAGCTTCCTCATCTGCAACATAGGCTAATGCCATGTGCCTTCCCCGATGGTTGTGAAGATCTAAAGTCATAACACATGCCGGGCACGTAGCAGGCGACGCTCCACGCTGTGGCATGCTTTGCCCAAGGTCATACGTGGGAAGGAGGAGGGGGACCTGTTGGCCGCACCGCAGAGCCCTTCCTCTCTGTCTGTGCAGCTCCTGGTGGACGACTTGCTTGTGTACAACGGGATCCTGGCCATGGTGGGCCACCTGGTTGGGGGCATCCTGCCCACGTGTGAGCCCACACTGCCCCACCACACCATCCTTTTCACCGAAGACACAGACATTTGCCACCAGGAGAAACACACCACCATCAGGTGTGCCCCAAGCCTGCCCCACAACCATCCCCACCAGTCCTAAGCAGGACAGATGGCAGGACCATGCAGCCTGGACCCTGATCGAATCTTCCATCCTCTCCCTCCCCGCAGTAATCAGGTGGAGGACCAGGATGTCCAGATGATGAATGAAAACCAAATCATTACCAACTCGAAAAGGAAGCAGAGTGCAGTTGACCCAGGTCAGCTTCGGTTCTCTGCCCAGAGCATCCACCTCGGGAGTTTGGGCTAAATAGAGAAGTTGCTGGCAGCATCACACACACTCTCTCGCCCCTGCCTGCCTTCAGATCCCTCTTCCCCAGGAGCTTGCCTGGGGCCTGAGGAGAGGCGGGCACCTCGTGGCATCATGCTGTTCCCGGAAGCCAGGCCTTTCGGGTGCAGAGGGAAAAGTCCATTAGGGGCAGAAGCACGTTATCGAAGGGCCTGGGCCTTGGGAAACCAGCAGAGGATGTACGGGGCGAGGGCTTCCCAGAGGAGCTGGTGTTTGAGCAGCATTCTAGGAGATGCGCCGAGATGGCCAGGCAAAGGGAACAGCATTGGCAGAGGCCTAGAGGGGCAGCGTGGCAGGGCCTACTCCAGGCGGAGCGGATAGGTCAGTGTGCCAGGGGTGCCGGGCTCAGAGGCTGCTGCTGGGAGCTGCAGGTTGGGGTCAGGTCTACAGGGGTCTTGGATGGCAACCCAGGAGGTTTGGATTTCAGCCTGAGGGCATGGGGCAGCCCTCTGGGGTGGAAGCTTGGTAACACCGATCCCTCCGCATGCTCTCTTGACAGCCTTACGCCCCAAAACCTGCATAAGTGAGAAGGAGACAGCAAGACGGTGGCGGTGCTGACTGCGGAAGGAGGGAGAGCTGGTCCTCTCGGCCAGCACAGGGCTACATCGCTGGCCCCCACTCAGTACCCGTGGCCCCTCCCCTCAGTCCTCGGTGTCAGCCAGCCCAGACCGCAGGGGCTAGAAGAGAGCCGTGGTGTGGAGGGGAGCACACTGGGGAAAAGGGCCTTGAGGGATGGACGACCCTGGAAAAGGTGGGAGCTCCAGGTGGGAGGAGCCAGTGCTGCTGCTGAGGGTGAGCCGTGACCTTCCGCTGTCCCCTGCAGGGAGCCCCAGGACACCCAGCTTGGTGCCTCTCCCATGAGATCCAGCAAAGCAGGGCTGGCGTCCACTCAGGCCTGTCATAGGTTCCCTGGATCAGGTCTGACTCGGGCCTGGGCAAGGAGGTCGGCCGGCGAGGCCTCTCATCCAGCCCAGAGCATGGCTGAGCAGGGCAGGGGGACCAGGCCTCAAACGCCAACACCAGAGTGTGCTGGGGGAGGCTCCGCCTTCCGGGGCCCAAGCTGAAGCGCCAAAAACCCCCGTCATACACATCCCTGCCTCATTCGGGGGCTGGTAGATCTGGCTGAGAGGGCAGGATTGTTCCCTGGACCCCTAAATGTCTAGCCCAGAACTGCTGTAACCCCCTCACTCATCTCGGGTGCCGCTGGTCCTGCACGGGCCTCTGTCCTCTTGTCAAGCCTGAGAAGGAATTGGCCAAGGGCGTGTATCCGCCTGCCATCCAGAGCTGGGCCCACCCTGACATACAGGGCACTGGTTTCTGAAGTGCTGCCAGGCCCAGGTGGGACCGGCAGGTGAGCAGCTTCAGACCCCAGAGGGCCAGCGAGGCCCATCCAGATGCCCTCCTGCCAGGGGGTACAGGGCAGGGGGTACAGAGGACCAGTGCCACAACCCTACCCTCTGCCCCCGGAAGCTACCTCCCCTTCCGCTTGACTTCTTGTCGGGAGGGCGGTGGCCCTCATTGCACGCGCTGCCGCATCCCTGGAGTCTCTGGGCGTGTTTTTCTTGCTGCGTTCTTCCTCTTTATCCATGTCTGTGCCCTTGCAGTCAGCCAGGGCGGTCCTTGCTGCCCAGGGCCCCACCCTTTCTCCCTCTTGCTGCAGCTTCCCAGCAAATGTGCCTTGCACCCCCAGCCGAGTGAAGCCCAGAACACATCTATTTCCATCTATGTAACAAGCTCGGATCAAGGACCTAATTGGTTTCCCAGTGGTGGGTAATTTCTCGTTCCCAATATTAATCCGTTGTTTTCTTGGCGCCCAGCCCGGCCCACCGCGTACTGTACTCGAAGTACGTTCCTATGCAACCACGAGCCCAGCAAATACTTTATGAGCTTTGCAGCTTCCACGGGCAGCTATGCAAATGCGCTTTACATTTGGAGTGTGGGGTCGATGTGGTGCAGATAAGGAATTGTTTCGCCCCAAGAAGATCCATCGTTTCTGTAGCTTCCAGGCCCCGGGCTTCCCTGCTCCTGTCCCAGATGTGCTGAGCTCCTCCGGGGCCTCTCGGGTTTGGGGTTGATCCAACCAGTTCTTAGAGACCAGAACTGGTGCGGTGGCTTGAAAGGGAGCCCAGCTGTCCATTCCCGCCTGGGGCACTGGCATGGGTCAGGTTTGTTGGGGAGAATACGCAAACGCCGCGCACACTGGTTGCCACATCTCAGCTGACGTTTATGATAACTGTGTACCATGCAATCTAGAAGGAAAAGAAGGCTGTACAGGCATTAACTCTAAAATAAATTTCTATTTTTTTCTCCTGCAAAATCAATAAAAGATGTTATTAATAGAATATAGTTTGATAGATGGGATTTGAGGTCAGACAGAGGGAGCCCATGTTGCCTCCAGGAATCGACCCAGAGTCCACTGAAGACTGGTCGAGTGGCACAGGGAAGTCCCCTGTCTGAGCTGCTTTTTCCCCACCTGCGAATGGGGTCATGATCCTGGCACTGCGTGGAGAACAGATGATAGAAGCCCATACATATGTAGTGGTTATTCCATGCCTGGCATAGCTCGTTTAATCCACATAACAACTCTATGGGGTAGGCACTATTTTGAGTCTTCTTTTATAGATAAGGGAACTGAAGCACAGAGAGGTCAAGTAGCTCACCCAAGACACACAGCTTCGGAAGCTATTAGTCAATGCCTAAATCTTGAGATAACTGCAGGCGAGCTGAGGTGGGGTAAAATCTCCCGCGTCTTTGGCCCTGAGGTTCCTTTCAGCATGTGTGGATCCTGGAAGCCCACACCCAGGTGCTGATTCCTGGCTGCCTGCTGTGGTCCCCACCCCGCTGCTTCTTTCGAGGTGAGCGGAGACAGCCTCATTAGCATCAGGATAAAGCCCTTGATTGGGGGGGAGGTTCCGTTGAAGGAGGGTCTGGACTGCAGCTTGGGTGCCAGCAATCGACCTGGCTTTGCGTAAGAGGTTCCTTTGGAAGCCCGCCTTTCTCACTGTACCAGGGAGAGGGGAGAGACTCCTTGTGACCACCCTCCGCATGGAGGGAAGATGGCAGGGCCGCTGGCGGGCCCACCCCTGCCCCCTTCTCTCCTCCGCCAAAGGCAGAAAGGCCCTGCCCTGCCCAGAGACCCTGGTGTTGGCGAGCCATCTCCTCCCTCCTCCATGGTTTGCTGTCTGGGCCAGCCCTGGAGACCCTCAAGGGCGGGCAAGCCCTTCAGAGTTCCCGCTGTGGGATGGGAGGCCGGTGGTGCATCCCCATTTCTCGGCCACAGTCAGTCTCTTAGCCACCAGCCGGCACCCTGGGCCTGGGTCTTCGTTATTCAGGGAACAAAGCTGGCCTGCAAGAACCTGGTCAACAGACAGCGCAGGCTGCTTCTAGGGGACGGCGGCCCAGCGCGGGGGGCCAGCAACACCAGGTCTTTGAGGTTTTTAAGAGAAGCCAGGAATTCAGGTGTTTTATTTATTTGTAATGTGAAATCTAACTTTTTAAATGTTGGCTCGACTTAACTAAGCCAACAAACACCAAGTACGCCAAATAAAACTGGGTACTGTGTAGCCTGCCCTCTACCCCAGCATGAGCACCAGCCCCCCTTCCTGCCCCCTGCAGGCAGCAGTCCCCAACCTGTGGCTCCACGAATGCCCCGGGGCTGATTGGTCTACCCTCCTTTCCTCTCCAGGGAGGTAGAAGGAGGGAGATCTTTTCCTTGACACTCATCCTGTCCCTCAGCCCAGGGCCAGTCGGGCAACCTTTGCCTGCTGGAGGTGGCAGTCCCCACCTCCGCCCTGGTGCCAGAACACAGGCTTCCTCTCCCTCCACATCCTGTACCCACCGCACTCCATAAGCACAGGGTGTAAATTAGCCCAGAGCTGCGGCTGCCAGGAGCCCCTGCGTGCCGACAAGCCCAGGCGTGGCTTACTGGAAATGAATCTTGGCCATGGCAGACAAGAGGCTTAAGGAAGAGCAAGCTTAAGCTCCCAGAGAAATCTCCCCCCAGACCTCCGACCCCTTCTCTGTCCAGCAGTGGGATGGACCTGACCTGCATCTCTTTGTCTGTCTGGCTCTGGCTCCATGAGCTCAGAAGGACCCAGAGTGTCCCCCAGAGCCCGGCAAGGCCGTTTCTGCAGCCGAACAGGTGGCAGCTGCCCCAGGAATGTTTGCCCAGATGTCTTGGGTC